GCAGGCAAACCAGAAAAGACATGCCTCCCAGATAGAATGTAAATTCTGTAGAAACCAAGAGTACTCAATCCGGAAAGACACATGTCTTTATACCAGAAGGAACTTATACCAGAAAAAAATAAAAAGTCTTTTATCATCTGAGGAGGAACGTATGGGTTCTTTATTAAGGCAGCCTTATCCAAACCAGATCCCAAATCATATAAACAAGCCTCTATCAAATGGGGGGGAGGCTCAACCTGAGAGAAGACCTGCCAGGGCAGGAAAGGCGACCTGGCGGCGGAAAGCTCAAAAGGCTCAAGTGAGTACTATACACCGGTTCTAAGAATTGCCCATTCCTTCTGATAGTGATCTTTTCAGGCCCTGTTTTTAACACCATAAATTCAGCCTAAATAACAAACATTTGGAGAGGAGGCGATATGAATTATTTAACTCAGAAAATGGATAATGTATACACACTAGAGAAATTTATTGGGAAATGTGTCATGTTGAGATATGTAACCATGAATATAAAGTGAGACCATGCCTGTGGTGGCTTGTTTTCTTCCAGCTCTGCTGTTCTGCAGGCTCAGAACAGGGAGATGGTTGGTTTTGTCTCATGCATATTTTGCAGAGAGAGAGTGGGCCAAGGGAGTGAAGTTGTACAGGGGGAGATTATAATAATTAACCACAGAATCTGAACTGGGTAAAGAAAGAGGCAAGGGCAGGTTCGGGGTGATGGCTCTAGAAAATAATTATTAGGTCCAATACTTTGGAAGATCTTATCACATCCGAAGAAATATTCTTTTGGGGTTATTGAAAAGGTGAACCGGAAGGAAAGAACGTTACCAAAGGACGGAACGCTAGCAAAAGCAATTTGAGCAATAGTACAATTATTGGTGATGGTGAGGTCTAGAGACTCACTGTCCAGTGGTGATTTAAATCTAAATAAAATTAAAAATTCAATTCCTCAGATGCACTAGGCACATTTCAGGTGCTCCACAGCAACACACGGCTAGTGGCTACCATATCGGACAGCACAGATAGCGAACATTTCCATCGTCACAGATGATTCTATGGAACAGCGCTGCTTTAGTGTGACCATGGGAGGGGAGCAGAAAAGGTTTATTTGAGGTAAGAATTAAGGAAATTGGTAGGGTCACCTTGGCCAATGATAAAACCACCAAGAATAGAGATAAGAGTCAAGGTGGGGGTAATATCTGAGGGAGCCCCATCTGTCACCCAGCCCTTGGGGAGAGGAGTTCTGGTGAGAGAATTGCAGAGAAAGAGTTGGGGTGTTGTGAACTTCTGTTTTCTGCTAGTCCCCAGGGTCACCACCTACCCATTGGCATGCCAGCCCCAGCCCTACCCACCACTGAGGCCAGCCTCCTGTTGTTCACCAGGGGCTGCACTGCTCCCAGGAGGATCAACCAGATGCTGGCATTCTCTGTAGGTGCTTGCCCAAGAGGAAATGAGGCAGCCCAGCCCCCAGCTGACCCTGACCCCAGGCTGACAGAGCAGAGCCTCATAGTCCATCCTTGCATGCAGAGGTGCCCTGAGTCCTCATGAGGATGCAGCCCACTTGCCTCCCAGATCCCTGGGTGAAAAGAAAGGAATGGGGCTGGGGATGGGAACTGGGACTTCTGGCTTTGTCATATATCAGGGCCGACTGGGGCTCCAGTTTCTGTTTTGACAACTGAGTGAGTTGGCATATGGCCACCGTCAGTCCAAAACAGGGTCCGTGGACAACAGGGGGTGAACCTCACTGAAATTCTTTCCTGGGGAGAAGAGATGGCAACAAGACCCAAGTCTCAAGATTCCCATTAGTTGAGGGACACCATGTGATGCACTGGAGCATGTTAGACCTTTATTGGGGATCAAAAAACACAGTGCCCCTTCTTGCCTGCCCTTAGCCGTCGATTATCTCAATGTGGAACTGCAGGTGAGTGGCTGTGGCCACACAGTGGCCCCGGAGGAGAGCGCAGGTCTGGCAGTTGTGGCACTGCCAGTGGCACTGGATGACGCAGAGGGCATCGAGCACCTGGCAGTAGCGCCAGTGGACGCGCCACATACGGACCAAAGACTGGAGCTTGATCACTGCCCTCTCTCTGGTTATGTAGCTGATCAGAGCTGCCCGCCGTTTCTTCTCCAGCAGCCTCAACAGTGTCGTCCTCCACCAACACTGGATTATCCAGGCCCTGAGAGCCATGTGCAGCAGCGTCCTGCGCACCAGGGTGCCACGCCACCAGGCCTGGATAATTATGGCTGCTTTTTGTCTTTTTTGTTGTTTTTTCTAGACAGAGACAAGAGGAACTTCCTGCTACTAACTTCTAGGATTTCCCTGGAAGGAGCCTGGATTCTGTCTCTTAAAAGTCAGCCCTTCCTTAGAGCGCTCAGGGCAGTTAGCAGGACACTAACTCAGAGCCAGCAGACCTGTTGGTGATCCTCCTCTGCCACTATGAACACATCGACCCACTCTGAGTCACAGTGTCCTTCTATTGACTACCTCCCCAGTGTACGGATCGAAGAAAAACCATTAATATCTAGAAGGGTGCATTAGGGACTGAGGGGGCTTGTTAGTCACACTCCACTTCTTCAGTGCTCATTGGGTTTGGAAGGTTTGGCCTCATAACCTTTTGCCTGGTTACTTTTTGTTAACTCCAGTCCCAAACCACCACTGGCCGCTTCCTCTCTGCTATGACCACGTATTTTGATACTATGGTGGGTTTTCATGCCCTGACCACAGATTCTGCTTCCAGCCTTCCCATATTTTCTCATATTCTCACCTCTTGGCCCTATGTACTTCTTGATGGCTTTCATTCTTTCCCATCACCCTCTAGGTCTCAGTCAGACCCAGATCTAGACAGCCCAGGCTGAGAAGGGGTTGGAGGAAAAATGAGCCGATATTGAGTTGAATCCATAAGAGACAAAATCCCACACCCTCATGACATACATATGAAAGTTCTGAATCTCGCTTAACTACATAGAATTCTACCCACCTTTTTTTTCACCTTCTTCTTCTGTATCAGCTTCCATTCAACAGTTTCTTCGACATCCTCGATTATAATTAAAATTAAATGGCCCTCGGACTGTCATTAGAATTAAATGGGAAATGCATACATGAGTTAACACTGTTGTTTCTCTCTGTGGCTCTGTACAAAGGCACTCACTGCTTTAATGTCCCCTCTTTTCCCAAGACCTGAGAAGTCCAGGGAGATACCCGGCCACCCCTAGCCATGTCTCTTACACAAAATTGAATCCCCATGGCTTGTCTCTAGATGGTTCATTGGCTCTGATTTCTCTGCTTCCCAAGGTATGGCATGAATAATATGAGTGAGGGGAGAGCTGTGAATTCACAGTTGCATTATGACATAGGGATTAAGACATCTGCCGCAGAGCTGGGTCTTTGTTAGAAATAAGCTCCATGGGAACTTGTACCACCTGCCTCTTTCTCTCCTGTCAGAGATGTGCCAGAGCTCGGGGTGGAAGGGCAGGGCACTGGAGTGGCATTCCATACTGGAGTGCTCCTCTGAAGGCCACCCACAGCCCCTTCTTGCTGCCAATCGCGTAGCAGAGTGGGAGCGATGGCAGTGGCTCCCCACACAGCTCTCTGGGTCTTCTCGGACTTAGCGCTCCCTGTATTCCCTCGACTCAGGTTCCAGTGCCTCACATCGCCTTAGGAAACTAGAAAAAGATCCATCAGACAAATCTAGAAAGCAGTAAAATAAAGATACAAACTGAAATTAATGACCTAGAACACAAAAATGG